CCCCAAAACCCCAAAACCCCAAAACCCCAAAACCCCAAAACCCCAAAACCCCAAATTATTTTTATTAACTTTATAATAATTTGCCAATGGAGTTCTCACAGTCAATAGCTGATATTTTCACTTCCTTAAGAGACAAAGGCGATTATGTAGTACTTGATGGAGCTCACCTCCACAAGTACACTACGAATGAGTTAGATGATTTCATCGATCTGCTCGGTGAAGAAAGTATGAGAATAAGAAAGCTAGCAAAATGAATTACTTCTTCTGTTCAACTACACAAGGACCATGTGCTATTTATTAAAACTGATGAGAATAAAGTCACTTCATTTGCTAAAGTCCAAAAGCATAAATAAAATATTCTCGTCTGATGATTTTGGTGGAATGAAAGTGACCAAGGCAACTGCAGTTATAGACTTATATGTCCATCCTGTTTATGAACCCCAAGGAGAGAAAAAGAAGCTCATTGATCATATTGTTGAATGTGAGAAAATTAACGGGGAACAGACTGTAGATCTGTTAGGAACTAGCCCGAAATTCCTAAGTTCAGCACCAATGAGCCCTTCTGACTCATTTTCCTTATCAAGGGCTCCTGGCTATAATAGTGAATTAGGAAGAAGTTCTTCTCAAACGAATCTGAGTGCTTTAAAGGACCAAGAAAAACATAATGATATGAGAAGGTCAAAAGTGTTCAATACTATTGCTCAAGATGTGATTAAAGTCACTCCAGAGTCATCAAATTACCAAAGAGATAACCATCTTGACACACAGAGAAGGATCAAGATTTCAGAAAGTGAAAGGAAATTAAATTCGAATGAAGGCTATGCCTCTCCAAGACACAACAACAAATCTCCTTATAGAAAGGATTATGATCAGAATTATTATGATTACCAAAAGAAGAAGGAAACTTTGAGAGAAGTGTCTCCTCCTGAACACAGATCTAAATACTACAACGATGTTTTTGCGTCAACAGTCAACATGGGACCCATGAAGTCTTCTGAATACTCAAGGAAGAGCAGCCCTAGGCTGCGTGAGCCAGAGATTAGAGGCAAGATCCATTATGAGCATAAAAGTAATATCTCAAGTAATTTTGCTGGTAAGTTTCATATAATCCTGTAGTTAAAGACAGTCAGAAAGATTATAAACCAAATTATGTTCCACAAATTCCGCAGGATTATAAAATTCAGCTTGATGAGAAGGATATTGTAAAGCCTAAAAATAGGTTTAAAAACTGGCAACCTGTAATGAGGAACCTTGATGCCTCAAATGATATAAAAGGAGTCCAAATCTCTCACTCCAAATACCTAACTGAAAGAGATGATTATGTCAATCCTGCTAGAAGAGTTCAAATAGGAGGCAAAAAGATATTTGTGAGCAAAGAGAGAGGTATAGAAAGTCTTTCTAACTTCCAGTCTGGGATCTAGGGAGCTACTTTTGCTTGTCTCTCCTCCATATTAATAAAAATGATCTATCTCCTGCATTATAGTGGGGTTTTGGGGTTTTGGGGTTTTGGGGTTTTGGGG